CCATATTTACGGACAAGCTTTAGCAGATCGTCCCCCAGCCACTCTCGCTGAAAAACATAAAAGACCTCTATAGACGTCTTTGGCAGTCAACGGTTGGATTTGAATTGACGTCTATAGACGTTTTTGGCAGTGAATGAGTTAAAAGCCTGTGGAAAAAAACAAAAAAAACAAAAGAAAACTAGTAACTGAAGGTACCCGGTCGTGGTCTCCATAAAGGGCCTCAGACCCCCTGGGTCCCCTGATGGGCACATCTCATACTGTCATAGACAATTAACATCCTCATTACTTTGTTTTGGGAAACTGGAACACTCGGAGGGACCCCCAATGTGCTCGCAGTGGGGTTTTTGGGGTTTTTGAGAAAAGAGGAGGGGTTTTATCTGAGTCAGCGTCCGGCTTTGGAGGAACCGAGTGGGGAGAAAAAGCTGTAGTCCAAACCTCTAAAACCGCAAACCCATAACAAAGAATCTGGGTGTTGATTAGAGCTCTATACTTTGCAAATAAGCTCCTGTCGTCAAATGAGGGATGGAAGTGAGATTTGTCAAAATGCGGTGCTAAACTAAAGGATTTAAGCGGGTCTGGAGCAAAAGCAGACCTCATTCCTGTGATGCTGAGAGAGAAAAGCAAAGCAAACACGAGCTGATTACTGCAGCTGGAACTGTGGAGAATGAAGGACGTCCAATGGATTTTATGAAATGGATTCTTTAGGGTTACGGACATATGTGTTTTGTTCGTGTCTAAATGTGTTTGTAATAAAGTGAAACTAATTGCATCCTTCTATTACAGAGCCTCGACTTCTCGACCTCTGGATATTTAATGGGATTAACCGGAAAAAAAAAGAGAACGAAAAAAAAAAGAGGTGATTAAAAGCCTCTTCCCTTCTGCCTGGTGAGAAGCTCCAGGTTTATAAAACAACCTCGAGTTCTGCTCATTGATTTAACCCTGTAATGCCAAATGTATCATATCTGATTCATACGGTTTCTGAAATGTTTTACGTCTGACTCCTTTTGCATAATTTAATGGTAAAAACTTTGAAAAATTGAATTATCGCATAGTAATAAGTGATTAATATAAAAAATGTATTTCTTTTTTTTCTTTTTACATATTATGTTAAAAGGCCAAATAAAGAATTCAAACAAAAAAAAAGTAATTTTTTGTTTACTTTTCTTCTTGGTTCAGGCTTTAAAGGGTTAATTAAATGGTAAAAACTTTGCTCTAAATCCTATTGAACACAATCAGATACACCTGATAACAGGGGGCAGAAGATACACAAAAATAATCTGGACTTATCGCATAGTAATAAATTATTAATATCAAAAATGTATTTCCGTTTTTTCTTTTTACATATTTTGTTAAAAGGCCAAATAAGGAATTCAAACCAAAAAAAAAGCACATTTCTGTTTTGTCTTATTGTTGGATCAGGCTTTAAAGGATTAAATATGGTGTGATACTCAATCTGTGAAGATAGTGTTCTATAGATATATGCATACATCTAAATCTATCTATCTATCTATCTATCTATCTATCTATCTATCTATCTATCTATCTATCTATCTATCTATCTTTCTTAAGAGGAACTAAAAGAGGTTAGTAGACATGTGAGCACTGGCTGTTGTAAATATGGTGCGATACTCAAGCTGTAAAGATAGTATCTATCTATCTATCTATCTATCTATCTATCTATCTATCTATCTATCTATCTTGAGAGGAACTAAAAGAGGTCAGTAGACATGTGAACAGTGAGTTTTGTACCTTATAACTCCGTTGATGCCCACGTCTTTATCGGAGCTGTTGACCAGCAGCATGTCGGTTCCCGTGGGGGCGTCCTCCGTGATGGTGGTGTGGAAGATGGAGGAGGAGAAAACCGGAACGTTATCGTTCACGTCCTCCACCACCACCGTAACGGTTCCAGTTCCACTCAGAGACGGGGAACCTGGAGCAGGAAAACACAGAGAATTCATTGATCCAAGAAAAATAGGAAGAATATTGGATTTATATATGAAGTCTTTCTTTGGCCCCTCAACAACATGTGAAGAAGAAAAAAACTGAAATTATTTTGATCAAATTAGCACATTCTTAGCTTTTAAGATAAACGTAACCCTATAAAGCCAAATGTGTCATATCTGATCGGGTTTCTTTTGGATGTGAGACTTTCTGCATCATTCAGTGGTAAAAGCTTTGCTCAAACCCCTGTTGTACACATTCAGATATACCTGATAACAGCCAGTAGAAGACCACACCAACATAGATTTCTGACTTATTGCACGCTAATTTGATCAAAATCATTTCTGTTTTTTTTTTCATATTACAAAAAAAAATCCAACATTCTTTCTATTTTTCTTGGATCAGGCTTTAAAGGGTTAAACTGCACTAATATCAACAAATCTAGATTTTTAACCCTTTAAAGCCTGATCCAAGAAAAATAGGAAGAATATTGGATTTTTTTAGTCTGAAGTCTTTCTTTGGCCCCTCAACAACATATGAAGAAATAAAACAGAAATTATATTGATCAAATTAGCGTGCAATAAGTCAGAAATCTATGTTGGTGTGGTCTTCTACTGGCTGTTATCAGGTATATCTGAATGTGTACAACAGGGGTTTGAGCAAAGCTTTTACCACTGAATGATGCAGAAAGTCTCACATCCAAAAGAAACCGGATCAGATATGACACATTTGGCATTATAGGGTTAAGAAATGCAGTTGGGTCTCAGTGGTATTTATGTCTGCTTGGTGCTAATCCGAGAGAGAAGGGAGAGGAGAAAGGACAGATGCAGCTCTTTAAAACAAACCTCCAACAACTGGTAAAGGGAACACATATGAATATAATTAACCCTGTAATGCCAAATGTTTCATATTTGATAGGGTTTCTGAAATGTTTTGTGTCTGACACCTTTTGCATAATTTAATGGTAAAAACTTTGCTCAAAATCCTATTGAACACAATCAGATACACCTGATAACAGGGGGCAGAAGATACACAAAAAATAATCTAGACTTATCGCATAGTAATAAATTATTAATATTAAAAATGTATTTCAGTTTTTTCTTTTTACATATTTTGTAAAAAGGACTTCAAACCAAAAAAAAAACATTTTGTGTTTTGTTTTATTCTTGGATCAGGCTTTAAAGGGTTAAGACTACTACTTATACTTTGTAATTATGCTGATTTATTCATCCTAAATAAACCAATTTACACTGTGGGGGCTTTACTAGACTATTCCAGCTGCATTCAATTCACACAAACAACATATTTGTGTTTCCATTAGTTCTAATGTCACATGAATAAATGGACTCAGAATCTCTGAAAGCGAATCTTCCAGGCTTCCTTCCGGAAGTATTGCAAATGCATAGATTTCATCTCAACAATGAATTATCTATTTTAAGGTGCGTGGCAGAGCGAGTTAGCCTGTGGAATTTGAGCAAAAGAGAAGTGCTATTTTCAGCCATAATCTAGCCGATTTCCTCCCAGAGCGGGTGACGAAATGGCTGAGCCCTGTGGGGTCGGGTTTTAATCAATAGCAGACGAAAACCAGCCGCATTGCAGAAAAA